CTGAAATGTTTATATACGAGAGCTATATTTTTCGAGAATTTAATTGCCCATAATTATGGGTGCATATAACACACGAGTGCATATTATACGCGAATAAATAAGTATTGTGTACATTGATCAATCGGAAAGGGTGCTAATTGGGATTGTTCATGAGCCAATATATTAGCAAATATCGCCGTGGGCGCTTATTACGTCGAATTCGGTAATTTGAGAATCAGATAACTGACACAAACATCTTTCACATCCGAAACTCTGCATTCATTGTAGCACGTGGGGCATGAACTCTTGTCTCAAGTTGACTTGTCAAAACTGTTAAGCTGTTAACATGGTTAAGTAAGTTGAAGATCTACTTGAATGTGCTGTAGATGGATGTCATTTGACATACGTAGACCATTGGCTCCAGTTTGTTCCAAGCAGTCAACTGATGTTTTTGTGTATATTCAGAGAAATTATCTGTTTATTATCATGATAGCATGGTCAACCAAAATATATTTTGCATCCACTGAAATGACTGTCACATCTTTGTTAATTACCTGACTGTATTAAGCATGTTTAGTATGTGTTTTTTTCAATCATGATTATTGGAGAATTAATCGATCAATGATCAGTGTTATTAAAGCCATACACAAGTTAAAGCTGGTACTGTGACATATCTGAATAAAACCTTTAGTTTACCCATGTTAACCAGTGTTAGCATCATGTAACCATGGTAACATGCAGGAACGAAATGAACATTTTTTAAATATTGACTCGTATACCGTTTTGGAGATCTTATCGTGTTTAACCATGTTTAACTCCAAGTTTGGAAGTATGCGTTATGCATCTGTCTGGATGAGTCAACATGGTCCAGTGAGTGTCTAAAGTTTAATGTGAGGTGAAATTCGGTTTAACGTCATGTCCAGGATTATTGCACTTATATAGTGACGTGTCTGTGTGTGGCTGCTTGTACTAGTCTGGACTGATGCCCATTTATAGTGCTAGCACACTGAGATACCATGCCGAGGTTTAACATGATAACCCCACTCAGACACAGTATACTGACTCTGACGTCCTTGTTTTAGCCCCTTAATGCCTAGCGCCAGACAGGGTAACAACAAGTACCACCTTTTAACATCTTTTGGTATGATGCAGCCGGGGATCGAACCCCGGACCTCTCTGGGCGGACGCTCTACCACTAGACCACAGAGGTGCCACTAAGGTTTAGATTTTTTGCCTAAAGAAATATATTTGAATAATACCATGATTGTTGCCATGGTCACAATCAATCCGTTCAAGGACTTAAATAGGATTCAGAACTAAATGCCCTTGGAAGATAACTTGGAGAAAAACACTTAATTTTGTTCAAAATGGCGACTTTCTTAAATGTCCTTATTTTCTTAAATCCTGGGTTATTTCAGTATTTCTTTCAATGCATTCAGTTTACGAACAAGAAGGGTCCTATGGAAGCACACTATTAACAGAGAAAGTGGAGCCATTTGCGAAAGGGTGTGTGTGGTTGTTGTTTTTTTGCTTAATGCGCATTCACAAGACAGTAACTTTCCAAACTTTAAGAGCACCCAAAGAAATAAAGCCAGCCTCTTTTCTTGTCCGTTGGTCCAGGACAAGGTTTTGGCCATAGTGACAGCAGAGCATGAGCTCGCTCTTTCATGTGAAATTTGGCTTGTTGATCCCCAAATACGTGAATAGGAGAGTCAACCCCATTGCAAGATTCACTGTCTTTTTCCATACTTTGTTTCAATAAAAAGCTCAATTGCATCTTCAGTTTGATACCTCTGTAATGTTTTGAGTTTCTGACACGCGGATCTTTGTGTAAGTCTGATACTGCAACAGAGCTCCTTACAGCATTGTTTCATTCCTTGTCCTATAACGTGAGAGTTTAATGAAGGTGTTGCACACTGCTATGGAGCATGCCTTGTAACACTGCACACTGCTGACTACTGTATCTACCCCAACAAGTGTTTTTTTGTTTTTTTTGTTTTACACCGCACTCAGCAATATTCCAGCTATATGATGTCCGTCTGTAAATAATCTAGTCTGGACCAGACAATCTAGTGATTGACATCATGATCATCGATCCACGTAATTGGGATACAATGACATGCATCAACAAAGTCAGCGAGTCTGACCGCCTGATCCCGTTAGTCGCCTCTTATGACAAGTAAAGTCGTTTTTTACGACAAGCATGGGTTGCTGAAGACCTATTCTAACCTGGATCTTCACGGGGCTGCTACACACTTCCTATGCCTGTAATATATATGTTAGTAAAGTATATGGATGAGCTTCGACAGCACAACACAACGGCAAGCATGGGTTGCTGAAGACCTATTCTACCCCGGAATCTCACAGTCGTGTAATTAGTGACTTCAGATTGTTGTGAACAAGTATGTATCATGAGACCTGTGAAAAATGATAGATCCGGTATTGGTCAGGCTTGGAGCGTCTCTTGTTTTCCAGAACCAATGACTAGCCCCTTCACAACCTGAATCACTATGACTTGGCAGAAAAGTACTCAATACCTGTTCACGTAATCCCCACTGTAATACATACCCACGTTTCTTGAACCTTGTAATCTTAGGATAAGTTGATTCATGCTGCATGGGAATAAATAGCCTAGCCTAAAGTTTCCTGCTCACTACCCATACAATTTGGGAATTTCTTAACATTAGTTTACATTTCAGGATGAATAAACTTCAAAATGTCCAAAGGAATATTTTCTGTTCTGTTTTAATGATAATAGAATGTTCTTTTGAAAACATGTTCGAATAAAATGTTCTCTTGAAAACAGGTTCAATTAAAATATATTGGTCCTTTAATGGCAGTAAGTGTAGCGAATCCCCTAAAAATAAGCAAAGTCTTGGCGAATAATGGATAGTGACCTAAATTTATCATCCAAAACTGGCTCCCACAGGAGATATCGCTTGGATGAGATCATGCGATATCTACACTGTAGATATCGCTGCAATGAAATTACATCACAATGCTTTGCAGACCATTGTGACGTCACTGGTTACCATGACGTCACAATCAAATGACATCACTAATGGCTCTGCTACTGAAGCTGTTTGCAGTACTTTTTACACTGAAGACACTGCTAATTACTGTCTACAAATTGAAAAAGTTGAAAGAATGATGTTGGATGATAAATAAAATCTCACCCGAGTGTCTTTTGATATCAAATATATCAACACTCGTTGATAAAAGTGGCAAAAATCCTCGGCAAGCCTCAGAATTTTTCCACTTTTATCAACTCGTGTTGATATATTTGATATCAAAAGACACTTGGGTGAGATTCTCTATTTATCACACCACCCTTTTCCAAGCTGATATCACACTGTGTGTATGTGTGTGTGTGGTGAGGGGACTTCAGGATGTAAGTCAGGGTTCGTACAGGCCTAAAAAGGCATTGAATTTCAAGGTCCCTCTTGAGAAGCCTGTAGTTTTAGTGTCAACCTTTAAAAGCCTTGAAAATCACCAACATAGCTTGAAAAGCCTTTAATTTGTTCAAAATGACATATACATGTAAATAAAAGTATTAAAGCACACAAAAGTACCCAAAAATGTTTAAAGTGAGATTTATCACAGTGATAGACATATTTGCCAAAGTGATGAAGAATTCAGTGTTAAAAATTGGCACTAGTCCTATACTCCCTGCCAAATTGTCCAATAGTTAAAGTGTCATAAGGACTAGTAGAAATTTGCCCTTTTTAAGGGTTTTGCTATATGTTATCATTATAAGGATTGCTGGATTAAAACTGTTAGTTTCTAATGCAGGAATTCGTGACAAACGGGTAATATAATTTTTTTGGGGGTGTAAAAAACAGGTCTTGTTGGAAAATGTGTGATGGTCATACTGCTTTTGATAATACTATGATATAATAGTATGGCATGCTTGATTTAATACAATATTGACAGACTAATAACCCAACAAAAGAAACCTGGAAAATGACAGCTGACAGCCTTGAAGAGCCTTGAAAAGACCTTAAATTTAAGTGTTCTATATCTGTATGGATGATGTAATTACCCCATGTATGTTGTAAGAGTGGATGACTAAGAGTATCAGGCTCTGTGACCATGGTGACTTGGCTTATTGTGTGTAGTGTACCCTGGTGACAGGGACCGGTGCTCATGATTTCGATCACTGGTTTGTCAAGCTGAATATTTGTAGGCTCGCTCACTCACTCACTCACTCACTCACTCACTCACTCTCATTCTCTCACTCACTCACTCATTCTCTCACTCACTCACTCACTCACTCACTCACTCTCACACTCACTCACTCACTCACTCTCACTCACTCACTCACTCTCACTCACTCACACTCACTCACTCTCACTCACTCACTCTCACACTCACTCACTCTCACTCACACTCACTCACTCACTCTCACTCTCACTCACTCTCACACTCACTCACTCTCACACTCACTCACTCACTCACTCACTCTCTCACCCACACTCACTCACTCTCACTCACTCACTCTCACTCACTCACTCTCACACTCACTCACTCACTCTCACTCACTCTCACTCATAGATGTTACCTATTTTCTTATGTTAAACTTATTTTAGGGAAACATGGTGGGTTGTGGCTCTCCTTCTTTTCAAAGAGACTTATTTATATAAGTACAACTTGACGATGCAGTTCTAAGTGTCCCAAATTTACTGTTTTAGTCCAGGTGTACCTGTACATTATGATGTATGCATGAATGACAGTGAACCTGCGGCGTTTGTGCTCCGGACTCCATTCACTCCTGTCCCCATTCATGAGTAAGAAACTCTGGATTATTCTTATCCCTCCATGACTGGATTACATATTTTAAGACATTCAAAAGGCAATCCCATACATACATACATGTCTGTAAGCCTATGTCGCAAGGCACAGTGGTGTTTAACATGGGTTCCCCAGTGTGTCAATTGTCATGTGTCATGTGCCCATTTAGTCCTGACCTCCATGTCATTCTCCGTGATTCATAGCAGAGATTGCCTTTGCTGCGATCACCTGATCATGAATAATGCTATTGGAGACTTGCTCTCTCCTTCTAGTTTATGAGGTTTGATATTTAAAGGAGGAAGTGTTTGATTCTTGCCAGTTGTGTACAGTATGTTGTACAATGTTGTATTGAGCACAGAATCTGGAGGGCTCACCTGTTGACTTAAAGTGAAAGGGAAGTATTGTGTTGCCATTTTGATGTGATCTGTAAGATGGAAGACGGAGCAGTTCAAGGTGAGCTTCACTGCTGGATCCAAAAGTTTGTTTACAAATAACTTGATCTACAGAGCTCCAGATAAGCTTTTGGTGTTGTGGGTATTTTACCCATGCATTTTAAAATCATTGGATATCAGTAATTCTATCTGGGTATTCAAATTTCTGTTACCCACTAGTTTTTACACATGTGGGTATTTAAGTTAAATATTTAAAAACACTATTCTAATTAAAAACATGTAGTCCCTGCAAACTGGTGTCGTGTGGGGTCGAGAGCTTTATAGGACTCAAAAATACCACGATACTTCCACAAGAAAGTGTGATGGCAAATGATCATGATGTAAGTGTCATCATGGAGTTTGGCAAGGTTGACGGAATGCCCGTTTATAATTTCAAAATAAGTTGCTGATTTGCTTATCGAATACGCAGGGTTACTTCACAATATTTTGATGATACGCACAAGTTTTATTTTTGTAGCGTATCTGTAATGTTCGTTGCGTATTTGATACACTTGGATTTTATTTTACTGCTTATTTCTGCATATCTGATGCGTATTTTAAGCAGATACGCAGCTTATCTGGAGCTCTGATCAATGTGTGTTTATTGATCACAAAAGCTTTACCCTATCCATTGACTGAATGTTAAGAAATCTGTACATTGGACTATGGGTCTATTGTTCTTTAAGTCATCATCTGGATGAAAATGTGAGAGACATGACTATGATTAACTGACTCTTTGTTATGGCGTGAACCAGTGAAGATCCAGGATAGAATGGGTCTTCAGCAACCCATACAGCCTTAAAAAACTAATGGGCTTGTCGCAAGAGGCGACTAACGGCATCAGGTAGTCAGGCTCGCTGACTTTGTTGAATCATGTCATGGTATCCCAATTGTGTGGATCGATGCACATGATGTCAGTCACTATTGCCGCCATCATATAGCTTTAACATTGCTGAGTGCAGCGTTAAACAACAAACAAACAAACAAATGTTGTGGCTTGAAATAGGCTAAAGGTAAATAGGGCTGGGACAGGTAACTCAGGTCCTTGGGTTGGGTTGTTTTTGTGTAGGATCCGGGTACTCATGGTTCGTCATGTGATATATTGTTTAATGACTAAACTTATCTATAACTCAATCATTACACAAGTCGCTAATGTTTACATTTCTTTCTAACTGTATTCATTTCTTCTGACTTTTTATATTTTATGTTTGAGTAAAGATTAAGCTTCACTCCACTTCAGAGCATGCATGAACAGATCATTTTATCGTGTATCTAAATGCTTTTTGTCAGGGTTCCGGTCAAACAATTCCGATCGGACATTTTGTACCCACTCTTGATAATTACATCGGGTACCCGGGTAGCATCGGGTAATTAGGCCTAAATTGGGGGTTGGGTACCCAGGTAGTACCTAGCAGGTAATATTCATTCATATTCTTATATTAATGAGTTATTGTTTGTTTTGTGTGACCTTTTATGAAATGATATTATGAACTCACAGATAACGGACTTGGCTCATCCGTGAGAAAAGATGATTATTACATTTTTTATCTGATTATCACAAGATTATGTAGTCTAGTACCTGTGTATCTTGATTGTTGAAAGTCTTTTTTGATCAAATTGTGAAAAGTTTAAAAGGCATATTCACATGTTTATAACAGAATGTAAAGGCAGTAAGCTGTTGATGTGATTTGAACTGTCATTACTTGGATGGTTGGTTTGTTGTTTAATGCCGCACTCAGCATGGCGGTCTGTAAATGATCGAGTCTGGACCAGACAATCCAGTGATTAACATCATGAGCATTGATCCACGCAATAAGGATCGATGACATGCTTCACCCAAGTCAGCAAGCCTGACAACTCGATCCCGTTAGCCGCCTCTTACGACAAGCATAGTCGCCTTTTACGTCAAGCATGGGTTGCTGGAGACCTATTCTAGCCCGGATCTTCACGGGTCTTGTCATTACTATGACTACATAAGGATTATCAATGATTTCACTTATACCAGGTGCATGTTGACATGAAAACCTAGTTGCACCAGACAAAACCAGGATGCACCCTGGTCCCATAAATTTATCGAAAGTAAAATTCATACAAACAGAGACCTGATGACTGTCATGATTTTACATGTATTAAAAAGTATTGCTTTAAAATGTAACAGGAACATATGCAAATAATCTTGAAGTACCCACAGTTTGATGATGTCACGCCCAAGAAAGCATGACAAAATACACGTAACAGGGATTAGGGATGTAATATGGTAAATGAAGCTAAGTTATAGCTTGCTCTGGTGCATTATATATATAGCTATGTCGAGCCATGGTTATTGACCAGGGAGACCTTGTGTTAATGCGGCTTTTGGAGGGGTCAATTTTCACAACTCTGTCTGAATTCAATCACAGGATATCAGACCAAATTTTCACATTTTTTTACTTCTTATTTTTGACATAAACAGATAAATGGTTAAATTTGTATTAATTTCATTTTAAAAAGTAAATCTTGGCTTAGGGAGGAAAATACATTTTTTATAAAAATACACAAAGTTCAAGTAGCCCGTAATGTCTTCTGCTAACTACAGAGCCGTTTGTTGAAATAAGTTCTAAGACATATTAGAGTCTCAAATGATTAAGGAATAAAATAATGCTGGTATGAACTTTCGTAAGGCAATCAATCGTGAAGAACGATCACAAGCAGGTTTTAAATCCATATTTGAAGGCTACAGTTAATACGTCATGTCCACAGACTTCCTATGTTATTGTTGCTTATATCCGATGTTAAGTGTGTACATAGAACTGTAGCTTAGGGAACAATAACTTGTTCTCCCTTGGTCTGCAAACAGGAAGAAGGATATGGATTAATATCTGGTAGAGCCACATTGATCGGGGAGTAATTTATAGTGGCCTGGATTGCCACCACGTCTTGAATGTTAAGAAAAAACAATACTTGTGTTTCAGGTAACATGGCCCCAAATTAGATTGATTTGATGGTTGTTTTTGTTTTTGTTTTAAATAATGTTTAACAGGAATAGGTTGTTTAGAACTGATGTAAGTTGCAGTGTATCACAGATTATTTAGAAAGCTACAATACAATAATGACAATTTTTAGTTCTGTCTGTAATGTCTGGATTCCTTGATGTCCGTTTACTGCTGTGAAGAAAAGCATTTGGGTCTCAATGGGTCATTCAGGTTACCTAAAACACAACTCTGTTTTTGCCTGTTTTTTAATCTGCTGGGGGGTGGGGGGTGTCTTCAGTGTAGGATAAACTCTCTGGTCTACATCAGTTATTTATGATCTTAACATCGTCAAAGGACCTGTGAAGATCTGGCGTAGAATAGGTCTTCAGCAACCCATGCTTGTCGTATAAGGCGACTAACGGGATCAGGTGGTCAGGCTCGCTGACTTGGTTGATGCATGTCATCGTATCCCAATTGCATGGATCGATGCTCATGATGTCAATCACTGGATGGTCTGGTCCAGATTTGATTATTTACAGACCGCCATCATATAGCTGGAATATTGCCGAGTGCGGCAACAAAGAGAAACATAAAATTTTCAGAGAATTTGGTCAGGTCAGGAAACAAGTAAGAAGTAAAAAAGCATTTTGCCAGTTATTTATCATGTTTATCCTTTGAGAAGAATTATAAGCATCATTTATTTTATTGATTAAACTTCTCTTTTAAAGCTATTTTTCGTTTGTTTTAGTTAAGTTCATGTCGTAGTTAGGTCTTTGGTCATGATGATGATGATGTTGTGGCAGGAATATTGTGAATGTTAAGATCCATTTATGTAGACTTTATTTATCACTACAAGTGAGGCTAAGTCATACTCACTCATTAAGATTATTCCTTTGCAGATATGGTCAGGCTCGCTGACTTGGTTGATGCATGTCATCGATCCCAATTGCGAGGATCGATGCTCATGATATTAATCACTGGATTGTCTGGTCCAGACTCGATTATTTACAGACCGCCATCATATTGCTGGAATATTGCTGAGTGCGGCGTTAAACAATAAACAAACAAACCAACCAACCTTTGCAGATACACACGTGTCGAGTACTTTTCATTTTGGTTTTGAGATTGCACCTTTCCTGTTAAAGATTATGAATTTTTATAAGGTTTAACATTGGATATAAGCAGCTGTCTAGTTTCTATAGTTTGAAGGCTGTACATTATCGTGACAGGAGTATTTTTCTTACCTCTGGAATAGGAAAAAGTCTAGGCTATCTAAACAGTGCTAAACTTAAGAGGATTGTGTGTCTTGTTTGCCTTGAAACCTACACCATGAAGCACTGGGAGAATAGAAAGGTTATTTCAAGATGGATATTTATGAACATGTTGGTGGTAAACATATGATCTTGATTGTTTGATGTGATTCAGTTCCTCGGGTAGGTTCTGTTGATGGATGTTAAGGTATTTTCTTGTGTGCTTTTTGGTGACTTCTTCACAGGAAACTGAGCAAACATTATTCTTGTGACATGCGCTGGTGCCTCTGCCTGCTTCCAATGATGATGATCAAGTCTGTACACACATGAATTGATGGTTCATCGGTCCACACTCACAGTGTCTGGGGTTTTGAGCAATGGCTGTTATTCTCCTGCTAGAGGTTGGTTTGTTTGTTGTTTAACGCCACACTCGGCAATATTCCAGCTATATGACGTCGGTCTGTAAATAATCGAATCTGGACCAGACAATCCAGTGATTGACATCATGAGCATCAATCCCTGCAATTGGGATACAATGACATGCATCAACCAAGTCAGCGAGCCGGACCACCTGATCCCGATAGTCAGGTGCCAAAGTCAGTTAACAATCCCAATTTGGAATTAGAAATTTCCAAACTCATATTGTAAAGTAATAAGTAGTGTTTAAGCTTTATACAGGCGACTTATATTTCACTGACCAATTTGAGCAAAATGGAAAAGAAGTCCAAACTGCCTGGCAAGGGCACTTAATTTGGAATCGTGGATAAATCCCTGGTAGCATTGATATATGCCATGCAAGTCTAGTAAGTCTCAGTGACAAC